CAAATGTTGTTTAGTTTATCTTTCTCCATAACATATATTTTTTTCGGAATTTTTTGAAAACTTGTTTTTTTTTTTGTTTTTTTTTTTTTTTTTTTGGTCCGCGTTCGGCCCGAACGGCCAAACGCCTTCCGAAGGGGTCCCGTACGTTCGGCGGGCGTTCGGGTTCGGGCGTTCGGCCCGTCCCGAACGCCGGCAACCCTGAACTGAACAACTTTTTTTCCTTTTTTTCCCGAAAAGAATCATTTATTATGAAAAGCCGGGAAACGGGCGTGGCGTCCCTTACAAAAAAAAGGCGGTCCTGTTTGCAGGCGAGACATCACCGGTTGAACCCGAGAACAGGACCACTAGTCGCCGCAAAGTTGGCGCAAACCCTAGTACCAAATTAGAAATAAAAATCAAAATTAGAAAAACAACCAAACCACCGTCAAAAATTTCGCCTCAGGGTCAAATCGGAATTCCTTATCAAATTAGAAATAAAAATCAAAATGAAGAAATAATATGCATTTTTAATTTATTTGGATTTTTTTAGTCTTCTTTTCGCCCGGCCTGGCAAGCGGGCCCGTGCCTTGCCACTCTGGTAGCCTAAATTTAATAAAAACCCTACTAGCAAATGTTCCTTACCCTTTCAGGTGTCCTTATTGCTGTGCAAATTTGCATATTTATTTATTTATTTATTTATTTATTTTTCAAATTTTCACTCTTGCAGAGGTTCTACTGTCTAAGGTGTCCTTGAAGATGAATGCAAGCCATGAACTTTCACAATTTTACATCCATTCTGAAGAATAGGAGTGGGAGTACGCCTTATCCAAAGTGGATAAAATTTTATCCAAAGTGGATAAACTTTTAGTAGTCTTTTATCCAAAGTGGATAAAATTTTATCCAAATACTAGATAGTAGATAGTAGATAGTAGATACTAGATACTAGACCGTGCAGTCAGCTGATACTAGATAGTAGGTACCAGATACTAGACTGTGCATTCGTATGCAGAAGCGTGGGGCGAGGTCCCACTAGCAAAAAGGATTGGATTAAGCTCCTGAATCTGGATGTGTTTTATGCATAGATGCAGAAAGGCAGATCAATCATGATTTTCTGCACCTCTTCACAAACATGTCCAGATTCAGACGTGGTATCCAACCCTTTCTGCTAGCTCTTGTATTCAGAAAACTGAGAAAAGTGGACATCCCTTTCTTTTCTTTTTTTTATTTTTTTTTATTTATTTTTTTTTTTTTTGGGGGGGGGGGGGGGGGGGTGGTGGGGCGGGGGGTTTTTTTCCCGACACAGGTTTCCACTGCGCAACCCAAAAAAAAAAGTGCCTGAAATTTTGAAACTTTGAAATTTTGAAAATTTGAAATGTTGAATACTCCATTCGCTGATATCTGTTTTTAACTTTTTATAACAAATGCCGAAAATTAATTTGCTCCACAAGGAATCCCGTTAACAGAAAGGTGCCTTTTTCTTTTTTTTCTTTTTGGGCAGGTGGTGAACTTCATTATCAAAGACAAGTTATGGTACCCAATTGGTGGGGCAGCACGGTACAGCGACCTGTCGATGATTGTGCTTGGCGTAATTATCGAGAGAATAACTGGGATCGGTTTCGACGATTTTGTGGACAGAAGTTTATATAAGCCGGTAAGATAATTCATAAATCGTAACAAACTGAAATTCCACTGCCCTTGGTTAATCGACTGCCAACTTCCTCGTCGTCCTTTGAGTCAATGCTCTAAGTCAACGATGCATTGGCGGCGGTTTCGGTGCAGACAGTGCTGACAACCTAACACTTGAAGAAACCGCCAGTAAGAACCGCTCTCTCGGCTGAACGTTTGTGGTCGTATATACGCAAAGAAAAAGCATTCAAAAGAAAAAGAAAAAAAAAGAAAAAAACAAAAAAGAAAAAGCGTTTCTTTCTCGATTCCATGTTTCATGTGTCGTCTTGTATCTTCATGAATGCGATCCTGAAGGCTGTCTGACCTATGGCGGTTGTATATATGGGTTCAGGGTTAAAACAAAGTTGGGTTCGACATCGTACTGGCGGCAAGGGCCTTGGACTTTCCTTGTACCCACCCGCCTGGCGAGGAGGAGGACCAGTTCAGGTCGTTCAGGGTTATAAAAAAGTCGAGTTCGACAAAATAGGGTTCATCAGACTGGTGGTGGATTAAACCACCAGTAGCGTTCCCATATGTTGGCCGCGGGCACTGAGCCCCGGCCTGAAAATCGAGAGAGGCCGCCGATTCGATTTATCGGCGGCCGCCCTTCCTTTTCAGGCCAGCGGGTTACCCGGCGAGCACCTCTGAAAAAATAGCTGGGAAAGGTACTGGTGATTTGATTTTTTTTTTTTTTTTTTTTTTCCCCCTCCCCTGTTCTTGCTATGCGGTGGTCTGATTCTATTGTGCTGTTACTCCTCTCTTTTCTCCCCTTTTTTTGTCTTGTTATTTTGGTCAGGACTCGGGCAAAATTTGTCTCCGTTCGGTTCCTTTTTTCCTTTTTTTTTCCCCCTTCAATGATCTTCATGTTTTTTTCAGTTCAATAATGCAGTGAAATAATACTTGCAGCAGGGCACCCGGGCGTGACATCCAGGGGGGGCTGACGCCCGGGGTACCTGGGCATGCCAAAAAAAAGAAAAAAAAGAAAAAGAAAAAGAAAATATATATATATATTATATATGTGTCGTAAAACAGAGCTGCATCCTCTTCTCTCTCTCTGCCTACGGTTTACTGGGCAGTTCTGTTTGTGACGATATATATATATATTCGGTTTTCTGCGCTCTCCCAGAGGACCCCAAATCCGGGCTCGTTTCTTTTTTTGTGATTTGGCTGTCAAGGGGGGGGAGGGGGGTGTAAATCAGTTTGAAAGGGGCTAAAGGGGTTTTAAGGGGGGTGCCTTTGTGTGATTCTGTTATTTTATTTTTTTAATCTCCGATTCTGTGAGGAATTCTAATGTGACCTTCAGCCAAAAGTCATTTGTATTTCAATTCTACACGACATATTTTTTCCCCGGAATTCTTTTTTTTGATTTTTTTTTTTTTTTTTTTTTGCACTGGGGCTGCCCGGAACCCTGCCCGGCTGGTCTTGCCCGAAACTTAGCAAAAACATCGGACTCGAAGAAAGATTTGGCGAACTCCGAAAGCTACTCTGAATAGGGTTTTATAGTGCAGTTATGGTAGGGCACCAACCACTGTTCCACCACAACTGATACCCCTTCAAGGTGGGTACCAAGTACTCCTCTCTAGTGTGGAGATCTGTGACGGAAGGAAAAAAAGCAGGGGTACCTGTGATGCCAAAAAAAAAAAAGAAAAAAAAAGCACATTATCGCTCTTCCACTAAAAAGGGGGAAGACTGTGGACATCTTTTCTTTCATGATATTTGTTGAATTAAGCGTTGATATTTCAACCCCGAGAATAGAAGGGGCTTGAGTTTGTGTGTAAGGCGGGGGGGGGGGGAAGGGGGGGAAACAAAGCTTTGAATATTTGATTATTTTATTTTTCTTTGCCCAGTTACCAGCATTTTTTTAGGAGAGTACGAATTATGGGGAAAAAATAAAAATTAAAAAAAATGTTTTCAGTATGGAAAATTCTTTTTTGTTTTTTGTTTTGTTTCCCTTGGCAGCTTGGTATGCGCTCCACCCATTTCCGTCCGATCCAATCAACTGATTTCGACCCTCGTGTGGTCCCCACAGAGGTGGACAAGGTATATCGCAATCGATTGCTGTGGGGTGAAGGTGTGTTGACCCTTTGACCCGAATCCTCTCATTCTTCTCTTGTGTTATCATTATTTTGATTTTTTCCTATTATTCAAATTTATTCTACTATAAAATTTATTATTATTGTTTCAATTTATTAAATTTTATTTGGTTAGAAAAAACTTCCAAAGATGCGGATCTAATCGTGGGGAGGAGCATGTGCTGGGAAACGTGCCCAGCATTATTTTATTATTTTAAGTTTTAATAGTTTAATTTAATTATTATCATTGCCTTCGTCTCTCCACCTAGAATTCCTCCCTCTGTATCGGGTCAGGTCCTTCTCGCTCTTACACATCTCTCAATGACTCGTGTCAGTAACTTAATGATACCATTAAGTCTCTACCATAGTTGCGGCGCACTGGCTGTGCGGTGCGGGGCGGTGCACACTGCGCTGTGCGCTGGAATGACAGAGCGCGCACTGTGCGCCGTGC